TTTTGTTTTGTTTTTTTGTGGTTGTTTTGATGTGTTGCCTTAGATGATAAAGTTGCCTTAGATGATTATCTTGTTGCAGAAGGATAATTTAAAGGAAAGAACAACTATTACTCAATATACAGGAAACTTAGGTTTTGGTTTAAATCATTTTCCGGCAAAATATGAATTTATGGTTAATTGTCTCATAGCAAATTCAGTGTCTTTGGGTTTGGGGAAAAGATTCAACTTCAAGGTGTTTCCTTTGTTTCTTATAGATTTAAGATTATGTTTCCAATAACCTGAGAGTACAGAATAAGTAGGTCAAACCGGCTACCAAAACTCGGGTTGAACAACTTGAGGTAGTCTTGAGGAGTTTCCGGTTTCGCCAGAAGTTAAGACATAGATTTCCACAGATGTCTAAATGAAGCCTAATGCTTTACTCTAGGAATGACAGTGGTTTGAGACTGCAGCATGACCATAATTATTCTGAGCGTTGCAATGAAGTTGTGATTTTGTTGCCTTTGAGATGATGGTTTCAAAGACAGGGACCAGGTCTGCAACCGCTCACAGTTAGTTGCTGTCCTCAAAGCATCTTCCTTACATTTTCCTAACTGCTCTTCCAGTTCAGGGTTTCGGGGGAGGCTGGGCTTATCCCTGCGGCTACGTACAGTTTGGTTATAATTATTTGATCCACTGCGAATTTGTAAGTTTGCTGAGTGGTTTGAGGTCTGCAGACTGGCTAAGCCACTCCATGGACCTTAAAGTGCTTCTTCTTTAGCTACTTCTTTGTTGCCTTGGTTTTGGGTCATTGTCATCCAAGACCCATCTTCAGTGTTCTGGCTGAGGGAAGGAGGTTTTCGTCCAATATTTTATCGTACTTGGCTCCATCGGCCCATCAATGCAGTGAAATCATCCTGTATGCATAGCAGAAGAACAGCCCCAAAGCATAATGTTTCCCCCTCTGTGCTTTACTGTGGGAATCATGTTCTTTGGGCCATATCTGGCATTTCTCTTCCTCCAAACATGGCGGGTCGAGTTGATGCCAAAGAGCTCCATTTTGGTTTCATCTGACCACAGCACCTTCTTCCAAGCCTTCTCTGAATCATTTAATTGTTAACTGGCAAGTTCTAGATGGGCCTGTACCCTGCAGGTGCTGCAAAATTTCAATCCATTATGGTGTAATGTGTTACCAACAGGCTTTCAGATTCATCAGGGGATCAAAAATCATTTCCTCTCAGTACATTTGACTTTGGGATGAAACTCATGCAGACACAGGGAGCACATGCAAACTCATGCAAAGAACAGTCCCAGCCAAATGGTGCTAACTACTACACCATGCTGCTTACTGAAAGAAAATGCTGACTTGTTTCCTCAGATGTTTTATTTTGTGTCATAAGGATATAAACAGTGATTTGGAAGTTCAGACTGTAGACATAACTTTTGTTTGTTTACAGGAAAATGCCTCCGGGCACAGTTATCTTTTTGTTTGCAGAAAAACACAGCCTGGTTCCAGCAGGGTGTACAAGCATGATGTAAGATTCCCACCTCTTTGTTTTCTAGGTAGTACTACATTGATTCATAGATTGTAGTACTGTAGGCAGGCCACTTTGGTCTTTTGAGACTCATTTAGTACCTTTTCAAGGTGATCTTAAAATGATAGAGTCAGCTGTTCCATACAGGCATTTAAATCTTCTTTGAGTAGATGTATAACTCCTTTTATAGTCCACAAACTTTACCCGAGTCCTCAAATATTGTCCATTCTCTCTCTCTCTCTCTCTCTCTCTCTGATGTTGATAGATTTGCGTTGGATTAACCTTCATGCTGTTAGGTATTACCAGAGAAAGTGTTAGTTTCAAAGTTGGCCTTCAATCTTTAATTTTCTTTAAATGTCACAGGTCAGTCGTCACTTCTGGCTATAAATGAGGAGCGTGAGCGAGATAGAAAACCACGTATATACTTCAAGTCCTTTGTATTTATTTATAGTAATGAATGAGTACAATAAAAATAACCACACACTCTCAGATATACACTATACCTGTTTAATCCAGTTTGGGATAATACTGACGTGTTGGTTGAAGTTTAATGCTGAAATCTGAGATGTACAACAGATCTGCTGGCAACCAATCGTAAACAAGCACCTGAGGAGTAGAGATTACTGACAGGTCATGCTAGCACAGTCAGATACAGTTACTGCTACAGATGTGTGTCACTCTTGATTTACTGTCTCTTATGTAAAGAAAAAAATTTAAACACCAATGAGTATATGATTTAAAAATGTTTTAAAAAAACCTGACTTAGCACAAATACATGTATGTATGTATGTATGTATGCATACACAGGATGCTGTAAGAATCTCCCGAGGCATGAAATCCACAGTCACCTCTCTCTATACTTTGCACTCCCGTTACACTATATGGAATCAGCTGTAATTAAACTGGCATTACTTCAATGAGAGCTACAATGTCTGTTTTTTCAGTCAAATAAATGTATATATTGCAATCTACGCTGTCTGTAGCCTGTTTCTTGAATGTGTGACAAATTAATTCATTTTTATAACAAGTCTTCGGTGATTTGTTAAATTAGGAATTATGGCCAAAGTTTCATAGATTGTTAGGTGTGGACCCAAATGCAGACTCGCCATGCAAGGAGATGGGAAAAAATCAACAAAAAATAAATCTTTATTTAGGCTAGCCCTGAACTCAAAATAAGCGCCCAACTAATACATAAGTCCATTAAATAAACTACCAAACTCAATCCAAACATAAGCAAGGAAGCATACATAGAAACACGGCAAGATGCCAAAGTATATACAAAAAGAGGGCAGTTAAAGGAAGTGAGAACAGCTGACACTAATGAAGACAAAGGAAGTAAAACTACAACAAGGAAGACTTGAGCAAAAGGTTGCCAAAATAAAACAGGATATAAAAAACTGGGAACAGATGAAGACTTAACAAAAAAACTAAATGACACTGGGCAGCCTATTTCTAAATGAAACACTAAGTAAATACCAACATCCCTTCCAAACAGGCCATACTTGTTCAGTCTTTTTCCTGAACAACTATGGCCTGCTTTCTAATTGTACTGTCTTGAATTTCAACATTTAACCTTCAGACCTGCAAGAACCCTCTGCTTTTATTTAATGTGCTCTCACTT